TAAATGCAAAAGTCGAGTAATGTACACGAACATCAATCATATTAATGTCAGCATGTCCGTTTTGCCTATTTCTTTTTTTTAATTCTTTTCGAACAAGAAGTTATGTTTTATTATTAAAATTGATAAAGAGTTCCTGGGAAGGTCTGAGTCGCTTTGAGGCGGTCTATTTCTTTGGAAATACTTATGTCTCTTCAAGTAAAATAGACATCCGGAAGTCGATAGACGACTTGAGACCGTCTAGATGATAACTCAATGGGTACGGTTTCCTAATACATTAGCCACATGTAGTTTATAGGAATGTTTTATAGGACTGATGCGTTTTTGGAAAATATATTATTGATATATTTTCAATATTATGTCTCCTGATTAAAGTAAAACAAATATTTCACAGAAACGCAAAAAAACAACTGGTTTGAAAGTTTCCAATATAGCCCGTGCCTCGTATAAACACACTCACATATATATCTATATAGATGAACTAACATTATATACTAGATTGTATGCGATAGTGATGTAAACGGAAGGACTAAAACCAGTATGGCCACACAAAAGGAAAAAAAGTCGTCATTGATAAGCGATTGGTACCTCTCTATGATAAAATCATTTTTTACCCCTTATCTTAAAATACAATCGTTTTTTTTAGAGATACCGTAATCATTGATGTCTTATCACCACGCGATATACTGAACGGTATAGTATTTTTTTTCTTCTAACGACCGACTGGCATTAAACCCACTGTTCGCGTCACATTAAAACTACTATGGCCACCCTCTGAGTAGTAACGGATAAAGGATGGATAAAAAAAGACAATAAAAACGTTGTGTAATTCGTCAGTGATATCATGAAAGGGAGGAAAATAATCAACAATTACGACGGCGAAACTCTTGTAAAAGACGATTTTAACGAGCTCGCCTTTGGCTTAAGGAAAGAAAGTCACTGCGAGACGTTAAGCAAAAAAAAACCAGCAACAACAAGATAAAGGCATGACGAGCACACAGGGGTACACCTAAGTAAAATAATATAATATACTTTCTACATACGTCCTCGTTAGTGTGACTACCGTATTATCTATGTATGTCTTCTGTGTGTGGTGACTAACCGGATGTGTTATATATTATTATGTAGGTCAAACTGTTGATGGTGTACGGCTGCCACCACAGTCGACTTTGGATGCGAAAAGCGGGTTTTAATAGATTGCGAACAACGATACGGTCGGAAAGTTTTAAATAAATGGCATTTAAAACCTTTATTTATGTTCTATAATCTTATACCTAACCGCTGTGCAGCGCATTGTATGCAGCCGTTTCCGTTGGTAATCCTGAACCCGTCCCGAGGTGGTGGTACGACTGATTTTGCTCGGTGCAATTCATCAATAGACAACAGTAATAGTTCCATTTGGAAATATTTTTATTTTAAAAACACAAAAGTCGGTTTCAATAACTGTTAACAAATAAACTCTTAACATATAGTTAGTCAACAAATCATTTGAATTTAACTAAAATAACAACAATATGTATGTTAAATAAATAGTTTGATATACAGTATTGATATTGTACCTATCTGAAGTTTTTTATTGGTCGCTAATAATAAATACATATTACATTATAAGGACCGTTAATGGTATTTCTAACGGCCAATATAATATTTTCAAGTATTTACACAACGAATAAAGGAAATCTTACATTTTATAAAGATACATTTATATTGATAAAACGTATTAATTTAAAATAATTTTTTTTTGTGCAAGAAAATATTAAAAAATCAAACGATTTATTATCAAATTAATGGTTGCAATTTTCAATAACTTTATTTATCTATTACAACTTTAATAATTTATAATAATCTATAAAATAATTATGTTTTCAGAAAACGTGTATTTGTTGTTATTTTATTTTAACTGATTGAATAGGCGACTTGCTTACTTTGCTGACTTGACATAACCTATTGTGTTTTAGATTGTGATTATTATGACAAAAATTCGGTGTTATCCTACTCGGTAATACATGCTAAATCATGGTCTCCATTATTTTTTATTATTTACTTTAAATTTGAAATCGTTTCAATTCGTTTTCTCGTCTTGTGTCTGGTGTTTTTGGTACTATTCAATTTATTTTTATACGATATTTTGGGGCAAAGTGACGGATGATGTAATTGTGTACAAAGAACAAGTAAGTGCCTCATAAAAATCAACCCATTCGACCAAAAAAAAAACAAGCCATTGCTTTCCATGAAAAAGGGGAAAGGGCTATGTTCGGTCGGTGGATCATAAATCATAACTTTCTGGAACTTCCTGTAGTAAATAACACGTCGTTTGCTATATAAAGGAATTCGAAGGGAACAGAGTGAAAAAAAAATGGATGAATTTACCAACAAGCGAATGAACCGTAAAAAGAAAACACCTTTACAATATACTTTAATCGGTTATTTCGCTATTATTTATTGTAATTGTATCTGAAGTAACAAAATAAAAAAGAAGTTATTTCTATAACAGTGGTATTGCTTGTATACAAAATTATAATATACTGTACACGCAGTATAGTATAAAAAATAGATGTTTACCGTAGGCAATGATTAAAAGTTGTCGTTATTTTTGTATGGACAATTGAACGACTTTACTTGAGTAAATTGATATGGAATATTAATACTAATTTTGGCGATAGTTATAATGTGTTATGATACTCCATCGCCTAAAAAATAATAAAGATACACAAGAAAAAAACATAAAATAATATGTTTCCCCCCTCCCCTCCATGATCTTTCCAAAAATCTTCTCCTTCTTTGTAATCTAAACCATTTATGTTTAACTAACTATATTTAGCCCAAATCTAAATAAAACCTACCTGATCTCATTTATCAGCTGTCTTTTATCACGATTCTTTTATCAGGAGTTGTTATCAAACGTTTCTTTTACACTGATATGTTATCACTGATCACTTATCATCTGTCTCTTATCAGTATTCTTTTATCGGTTGCATATATATAATAAACTAGATTGCTAATTAGTGAATAGAATGGAGGCCGACGTCTGCCGTTTTTGCGGAATTTATGTGTGTACATATATATATATATATATATATAATAAACTAAATTGTTAAGTGTACATGCCACCAATAGAGATAATTCAAGTTACCATTTTCGGTATATATATATGTGATCGGCTGTCTCTTATAACCATCCGTAATAAGCTGTTTCTTATCACTAACGTGGTGACAACATTGCACAGATGTGCAATGTTCAATAAGAAATTGATACAATTTCTTTGGTCACACCGACCTGAGATTTTTGAAGTTCTTATTTATATTTTTTTAGAGTGCACTATCTGGTTTCGTTTAATGTGTGTCTCTATATAGCTTATACTTATTCCTTGACGTGACAGCGTGGTGCTATATTTTGTGTTTGGCGACGATTGTGGTAGTCGGTCGATTACGGTGGGTTTTTTATGTATATTTTTATTATTATTATACACTATACACACGTCACACAGTGTGGTTTACCAAGTGATGCGAAAACCTGGCGCGTTCATATTTTATGACTCTTGTGTGTGTGCTGGTAATTCGGGGCGACCGTCCATTTGCAGGGTCATTTTTGTGCCGGTACGTGGACGTTGACTGGCGTTAAAAATATATATCTTTGGGGCAGTATTTTTTTTTTGTTGTTGTTTCCAAGCCCTCGGTTTTGTTTTACGCGGTAGTAAAACTAATGGACGATGCTGCGGCCGCTGGAATTATTACTCTTTATCAACCGGCCAAAACCGCTAACCGAAAAAGGTCCCACGTCGCTTTAGACTAAACGCCCCGAATTAGTCAGTCCCAATCCCATCCGTTCGGACAACCCCAGTACATATACTAATCGTCGACCATCACATCGTGTCGGCTAATAGTATTTAACAATATGATAATAATAATATTATCATCATCAACAACGACAACAACAAACACACGAGAATTATCAGCACCACCTAACCGTGCTCGACATGACCGCCGTTGGCTTGTTTAGGTAAAGTTTTAAACAAATACAAACACTTTAAAATATTCAACCTCCACCCCCCTCTTGAACATGGTGATTTCCAATCCCCAGTTTTGGATTACTGTTTTTGAAGCTTTTTAACTAAAACAGTTAATAATGTCTTCTGGACTTCTTCTTTATCCAGGAAACACCTCCACCCTCGGTTTTGGGTTTTCTCTTTTGGTTTCATATGTTTGTGTTTTGTTTGTATTTCACAACGTGGGAATCTCATATAAGAAGTTATAAATGATAAGATCTGTTTTTTGTTTGGTCACTAACACTGTACAATACCATATTATCAGCATTTATTCAATAGTACAATTTTAAACAGCAGTAATCAGTCTGTACGGATTGTCTGTATAGGCTGAAATGGTTAACCCGTAAGAGCATAATATTGTACTATAGTAGTCCTGCTGCTTGCTCGGTTGTTAAATCATCTGTAAAGTGCTATGCCTCCGGAAGTACTACACACTTGCCCTATTAGACATTCGACATGAATGTAACCCAACCGTATCGTTGCACACAATTACATATATAAAAATCGTATACCGGGTACTATATTGAACATCCAATTGAATGTGCAGTATACACTTTAAAAAAAAAAAAATTTTATTTTATGTCATCCCAAAATGATTTGTTTTTTAAGCATATGAGTGTGTCTGCCGCCTATGGTGAAAAATTACATATTAACTTTTCAAACACACATTATTATTATTTATTTTGTAAATTATTGTTTACAAAATATTATTTTGTTAAGTTATTTCTATAACATTTTACGAGATGAGGCTTTTACAAAATATTTTCATAATAAATATAGCGGTATATCACTCCAAATACAGCATAAGCAATAGCCTAGTATAAGTACTATGTTTGAAATTATTTGCAACAAACCTCGAGGAAACGTTTAGTAAACATTAATATTTCTAATAAGCTGACTACACACGTTATGCAACGTTATTATTAATATTATGTTTTGTTTGAAATTTTTGTTTTAGAAACCCAAAAGGACACGGTAGAACCGGAATTCCTGAGTGCAATGAGTAACGTGACAGTGGCTTTGGGCCGGGAAGCAGTTCTGGTGTGTTCAGTGAAAAACATTGGCGAACACAAGGTAAGATAATATTGTTAAAACGGTTAACGCCACTCATTCTTGTAGCTATATTGCCTATTTATTGCGCCGTTTCATAGTTGTCGCATAGCTATTAATATATACCGTACAACAATTTCGTTTCTAAGCCAAAGGCATTCTGATTACTATTATTGTCTAAAATGTCAAAAGCACATTTTGCTATGCGCTGGTTTCGTTAGGGAATCCATAATTGTTATTATCGTTGAAGTGTGTATATACAGATTTACAATTTATCTCGATTTGCCAAGATGTTTCATATAAATATAATTGATATATAGATTTTTTATTTCGTTAAAAGTTATTTACATTTACTATAACACGGTTTTTTGTAAGACCGTTCACAACACGGTTCACAAGACCGTTCACAAGACGGTTCACAAGACCGTTCACAAGACGGTTCACAAGACCGTTCATAAGACGGTTCATAGTAACACTTTTGAGGCTGTGGTTGACAACATTGTTTTTCCTCTACACATTTGTAGCAAGACGACTTTGGAGCGCATTTTTGCTTGTAACTTTTCCCAGAACACCGTTTTTCCAAAGGCGCATTCGAAATTTCCTAAGGAATACAAACAAATTGTCCATTATTACAATTAAATATTATATAGTTTACGGTCATCGAAGGATTCACTAATGAATAAAATTCAAATTACACTGCACATGAACCAAACATCATAATACAGGGTGTCCCAAAAATAATAGTGGGGTTTCAAACGGCTGTAGGATGAGAGCAAAATACATATGTCACCGTATAAAATATGAAAACCTTATCATTATCAATCAACAACGGCTGTTATCATAATACCAATACACTGTTATCACAAATAACAAGATTATAACTGATGTAAACTGATAATGGAAATTTTGCTTGGTTTCTAAATTACCCATCTGAAGATGTTTATTTCAAAACAATGGCTATCATAATCAATGGCTGGCCATATTCAACGTTTGTTTCAATACCACTAATAATGTAAAGCCAATTTTAGAACAAGCCATATGTGGATAAAAAATTTTAATTGTCGGTTACAAAAACAGCCATAGAATGAAATTGACAACAAAACAAAGTATATTAAAATTGTAAAACTATTTTAACTCTTGTAAATTATTTCCACTTACTGTTATAAATACACATAACGATAGCAGCAACACAATTAAAACATGTCGGTCCAGCAGTGCCATTGTAGGAAACAAGCGGGTGTGGTCTGTTGAAATCGATACTAACCAACGTAATCGTTGATTGAACAATGTTGTATTTTTTTTTTACCAAGAGTATTTATCCCATGAAATATGCGTTGTGACAATCATTGGCATTTCCTGTTTAAATATTTAGTATTTACTTTCAATCAATGTTAGTGACGTGCAATTGGCTGTGACAAACAGAAAACACGAACAAAATAATTTGTATCCTCAAAACATATTATTGTTTTGAAAAAAAAACACTTTAATATGCTAATTGATTGTTATGAATCATTATATTGAAAATTACCAATTTTTTTTTCACGGTCAATTTTAATTACCACCTCGCTTACTCACATTTTGAATAATCACATATTGAAATAACTATAAAAATATATACACAATTACACACACATCCTATCGTTAATTAAACCAGATGTCGCCTGGGCACACGGTTTTAAAAAGGCATAACACTACAAAAAAATAAATAGGTATAATATTTTTTTAGTAATGACAAGCTTTCAGTACAAACATTAAACGGAAAACAATTTATTTTATAATATTTTTATCGTGCTAGTGCTGTAATTGTTTTTATGTCAATAAAATTATTGATTAACTCGAATGTAAATTTACTTTATAAGTTATTTTCAAACATTGAAAAAATGTAAACTTACATAAATGAACTCACACAAAAGCGCTTTTTTTTAGAAGACTAATTATTGACATATTACATTAGATCAGCGTTTGGTTATTTGAAACAATTTCTTAAGGACTTTGTAATGTAATGTATTGTGACTAAGAAACCATCCTTGATCACCGGGGCACACATGTACTGTAATTAATAGTTTATGATGTTAGCATGGCATATATGCATTTAATGGTTGAATACAATCTTAAGAGTTTACTGTGACAATAATAAATATTGTATAAGAGTGTTTTCACAAAAAAATAATATGTAATATTTAATAGTAAATAAATACAGCAATATATCTTTCAAACACTTGCTTAGTATAGCAACATAATTTGTCACTTGTCAGTTCATCCACAAAGCCCTATAATGTTCGGGATACAACGAAACTGTTGCCATGTATAAAAATATTTTTCAAAAAAATAGAATTAAAGCATCTTTGAAAAAAAACCAACACGTATTCAATACTTTTCTGAAACAAAATTTCCTTTTTGAACTATGTTTTTTCTATTATAATAAATCAAATAAATGAATGATATAATATTTATTTTTAGCCAATAAAACTGTATAATATAATATAAGGAAACAATTATCTTCTTTGAGTTCATTAAAATATTAAACGAATAAGTTCGTTTAGGATAAAATATATCAAGAAAATGATTCATTATAGTGATTTTTATTGTTAAAACTTGTGTTCTATTTTTCTTAACTCTTCAATTTGTCTTCTTGAACCAACTCTTAAATACACTTTTACACGATTTTATCATCTCAATACATATAATTATTATACCAGTACTAATGATGAATTTCGCCACAAGTTTAAAAATAACTCATATTTTAACTACCTATAAATAATTTCAGTGCTAGTAAAGTATAACATAAGAAATGAAATATTTATATTTATCTAAACACCATTATATCATACTAAATACCTTCTATAATAAAATAAAATAAGACAAAGTAACTTGATTAGACACTTTTTGTTAATTTTGGTGTAACTCACTGATATGTTTTAAAATTGGTATAACTCAAAGTGACAAAATATAAGATATACAGATATGTCTGTATGCTTTTGTAACAATTGAAGACATATGAATTTGTGTCTTCCTAATACAGTTTTTATACATTCCACAAATAAAATATGGTAATGTTAATGAACTTTTAACAATCATTCGAACCGACTTTTTCATAATTCATTTTACATTCATAGAAGTTAATAAACTTTAATTTAAATAAAGTTAACAAAACAAAAAAATATCTTTTTACTAAAGTTTAAACTTTGGTACACTATGGTCTTACAAATTAGAAATTGTTTCAAAAGTCTGGGATTTTATGTGTTTGTAGATACACCAATAGATGATTAAAATTCTGTACTGACTTTGTATTAAAGATGTTGCTATTTCATTGCGTATTATTATATTCTAGGTTGGCTGGTTAAAAGCCGAGGATCAAACTATTCTCAGCTTACACGAGCGAGTGGTAACCGAAAATCGAAGAATCGATATCGACGTGGACAATAATACATTTTGGAGATTAAAGATCCGGCAACTACAGAGGTCGGACAAAGGTTGTTATATGTGCCAGATAAACACACAAGTCATGAAGAAACAAATCGGATGTGTAGACGTAAAAGGTATTATAAACATTAAATATATGAATATTAGCTATGTATACCAAAATACTATATAACTGGTGTTAATATATTATGGACACAACCCGAAAACAAATGTGTATCGTGTAAAACGATATTGTACAAAGTGATAAATGCAAGGGAAATGGATATCGAAGGAGAGATCATGTTGTGCTTGGGGGTCACCCACGGGCTAGGATTATAACACAACCTTGATGTGTGTGTGCCAATGCCCTGCACGTGTACGACAAAGCAAGTTATTTTTATAAACGGTTTTAGCCGAGTTCAGGTTTAACCTCGAATCCCTTTAGTGGGGCAAAAAATCAAAATTGCCCAGGCGATTGGATTTCTTGATTACAAATAAACGTCTCAACCCCATATTGTGTACAACGGTATTAATATTTGTTATTACTACACGTATCTTAATATTATTCTGTGCTTTTGTTTTGTTTTGCATAGTTCCTCCAGATATCAAAGACGAAGAGACTATATCAGATGTCACGATAAAAGAAGGCGAAAACGCCACGTTGGGCTGCAAGGCAAAAGGTAATCCGGCGCCAAAGATAACTTGGAGAAGAGAAGATGGACAAAAAATAGCCCTCAAGAACAAAGCAAAGAAGATCATGGGTAATTGGAATATGACAGCGTTTCATTTAAAATTGATAATAATAAAACAAAAATGGCTAAACCCACAATAGGGTTGGACTGCTTAGTCTTGTATGAAAATTAGCCTTGGCCTAGGTAACTAAATTTTGAATTATGGCCGTTGACACACTTTTTAATGTCAAAGAACACACGGTTTCCGCTATAAAATTGGACAACATATATTTTAAAAGGACTTGTGTTATTTTCTATGTCAAAAGCCCTTCAGTCTCATTACCTTAAATGACACAGCTGCAATCATTTTAGCGCGGACCGTCAGTCCAAATTTTGTTTGTTCAGTCAACATGTGTGACAGACCATGACCGATGTAGTGTATTAATTGTTGTTCGTTATGCATATTGTTCATTTTGACAATGGATCCGATTAACGGTTAAGTTAATATGCTGAGGTGGTGTTTACACATGCGGATTCAGTATGGTATAATCTACAAATGGGTGTATTGTTAAAATATTGAGAACTTCAGCTAAAAGACCTTTACATTATAATAAGTAATAATGAAACGACAAGAGCTCGATTTTTGTTTAACGCTATAAAATCTTATTTATAAATACTTTAAATTAGCCAGTAGGTATAGACAAACTTTAGCAAGATCTTAGCCATCTTAGAAATTTAGCCATGAGAGTACATTTTATGATTAGTTAATTTTTTATCGTATGTTTTTATTATATTTCTACATTATACAATTTATCTGCCATAAATCATTTTATTTTGTCTGAAGTGGTTTTAGAGTCTTAAATTGGGAAAATAAGATGATTATGAAATAGTGTATGAAAATAAAACTATTAAAGAAATACCAACAATACCTTAAAAATAATAAAAAAACTGCATAATAATATTTTTATAAATATTTCCAAAATTGTATATCTTTTACAATAAATATAGTTAAAAAAAACTAAAAAACACGCTTAAATAGTAAAATAACCTAAAAAGTAGAAAATAATTTTCAATATAGAAATTAATTAATAAAAAATAAATAGTATTAATTGATTTCTATAATGAAAATTATTTTCTACTTTTTAGTTTATTTTACTATTTAAGCGTGTTTTTTAGTTTTTTTAAACTATACTTAAATAGTTACATACAAACAAACATACATACAAGTGAAGCTAATATAAGCATGTTAAAAATGAGAGAGTTTTTAGAGTTATAGTTAGTATTTACATCTAAAATGGCGGACCAATGGCGTTTAAATGCTGAAAACTAATTTTTTTTTGTAAACTAACAATGATTTTATTTTACCAGTTAATTTTGCCAATTTCCAATTTTATTAATACCAACTGTAAAATAATTGTTCTGAATTGTCTAGATTTACTTTAATTATTTTTCATATGTACACATATTGCAGTAATGAAAAATATATATATGTTAGTATGCCTGTAAATAATAATTACTTTAGGATACTTTTAGAATGTGAATTATTCGTATTGAAAAAAAATTTCTTAAATTTTACGCAATACAAATATGACAACTGTCGATTAAATGAGTATGTTCTTAATCCATCATAAGCCATCCGAAAGCTTGTAGAATATCACATTTTTGACAACTTTCAATTTAACACTATGTCTGTTAAATTACATATTTCGCTGGTAAAACAAACTTAATATGATTTGCGGCACAATACATAGTATTCTGTTCGTAGAGTTCTTTTTTATAGTAAATAGTTGTTTTTATTGAATAATTAAATTAGGCTACAAACAATCATAAGTTATTAGCTTGCATGTACAATAATTATTTCTACATAACATTTAAATTCTTAATAATATAAATGGAATATGAGAGACTGTCCATACAATATAGACAATAGTCAGTAGATAATTGTGTTAGACATTGAAATTTATAATGTATTCTTGATATTCCATTTCGGTGTTTAATATAATATTTGGTAATTTATTGTGCTCGACAGTGGAAAAGGTACGTGGTGAACCGCTGTTACTCAACAGAGTCGATCGCAGCCAAATGGGTCATTATTTGTGTATAGCATCCAACGATGTACCACCGGCTGTTAGCAAGAGGATCACGTTGAACATTAACTGTGAGTATTTCCGGTTGTAGACCCTTTGGGGGGGGGGGGGGGTGACAAAACCCCAAATGCTTCGATGTGTTTATTAGATATACCGAAGAAACCCTATTGAGAATATTGGTGGTTTGCCCGTTGTAATAGGAAAATTAGTAAAATTATATTCAATTTTTATGCAAATAAAATAAATGTATTTATCACATAAAAACAACACCAAAACGCTCAGGTTAATAACATGGAAATACATGTATTTTTTTTTCATAGAATAATCATTATTTACAATATTGTTTTTAAATAATATTAGTCAATTTTGTATTGGTTATAACGCTAAATATAATATTAATATTTAAGGGATAAATTCTACTATAGAAAATTATTGTTAAAGAAAATGTAACTAGTTGGCGTTTAAGATATGTAAAAAAAATTGGTCTGACAGAAATTTATATAAATTGTACGCTTATCTTTTAAATCATTGTGATAGTGCTTTTATACATCTGATAAATAATCGTAATCTTTAAAAAATGTTCTTATTAATAACAGTTTTTAATTAAATGTCTAAAATAAAGTTTTTATAACTTCATATGAATTATATTTCAATTAAATATGACATATGTGCTAGGAAAAAAATATTTTTTTATGATAACCAACTTTTGAAATGCAAAAATTAATTATTAAAATTTGATTTGACTAATACAAATTAAAATGATTAACAAAACAGAAAATGCATGTTAAAAAAGCATTATTTTGGGAGATTGAAGCATGTAAAAATATAATTTGGTAGACAAATTTTTACTGTAAAACAAATAATATACAGCATACCTTTTGCTAAAAAATTATATTTTTACATGCTTTGATCTCCAAAAATAATAATACCTGATAATAATTTATCGGGTTTATGGTTTTAAATACCCCTAGCATTTTAAACACACTACTTAACGCCCCGTATGGCTTTATTATTATCATTATTTTTTTTTATCAAACAGTATATTATAATTATATATTTTGTATTTTATACAATTTTTATAGTTGCTCCAATAATCAGAGTTACGAATCAGCTTTTGGGCGCACCTCTGCGTACAAACGTTCGTCTGGAATGTTTTGTAGAATCGTTTCCGAACTCCGTCAATTACTGGTCCAACACTAAAGGAGAGATGATTCTTGGAGGGTAAGTACTGAAATCTGTCAATAGTCTTCAACAGATATTGATAATAGTAATTGTTATCTTCTCGTGTTGCTTTTGAGTGTTCAATAATGCACTATATTTGGACGTCAACCACACTATTCATTAAGTAGTTTGGTTCAAAAAATTCCTTTACATTCCTTCCCAAAAATGTAACCCGTTGGTAATTGTATTGTTTAAATCTTTGAAAAAAATTATTATTAGCGTCCGACATCTATTAGCATTTGACGGTTAAAATATATATATCGATATATATATATAAATATATATCGGACTCAACTGGGAAAGAAGCTTTTCCGCCAATATAATAATGTTCGTGGAAAACCCACTACTGCAGTAGCGGTACTCCACATTTTTAATTAAGAAAATCTTCTGTTTAGAATTTGGTGTTTTGAGGGGGGTAAAAATAACAATAAAATAGCGTTAAAACAAATAAACGTTCTGTAGACTTGGCGTTTGTATACTAGTATAATACTGTACCCCGGTGCTGCGCTGAAACCGAGGCAAAGATGGACATTTTTACTGTCCCCCCCCCCTCAGCTTGTTATTTAATAACATTAGATGTTTAATAGTCGAGTCGGATCACGTCTTGGGACAATTAGGACAGACACACCGCTCGACAGCAGGAATTATTTATCCAATCAGAAAAAATAAAAACACAATATTGGTACACCGAATTATATTATACGAGTCCAACGTCTTAATCGAAGAGTGTAGAGGAGTTAACATACACCTCGCGCCTTAAGAGTCATACCGTGTCAACATAAAACCGCCGGAAATCATATTGTATTAGGACGTTGTACGATACATATATCATTTTTTTATCTGCCACAATCGTTAAGCCATCCGAGCATCAGCTGCTGTTTTCTCTCTGGCATCGGTATAGATATATATATATATATATATATATATATAGTTAGGTAAGTATAGGTTAAGTATAACACGTGTGCATGTATGTATATACAATGCAGATAATTCGGCTGAGCGGATTAGTATCGTTTCAATGGCAAACGCGGTGCATTCCGCATGGATAGCACAAATATAATACCAACCAAAAAAAAAAAAAATCATCCCCCGTCGTCCAATCATCCTTCAACGGTATAATATAATGTACTGTATACGCTGTATGAAACGATAATAATCTCGATAGTCGTTATTACCATTGTTTTTGTCGTTAACGAATCGGCAGACCGTTAAATCTAGGCCTGGGGTTGCCCTTGTATACCTCATTTGTATTACACAGACACGGGAATTAGTATCTAAATTAATTATTTGGTACATGCAAAGTAACAGAAACTCGGATCACAGAAAACATAGAAAAAAACCACTTATAAACAATAGCTGAAAGTAGCTGTGATGGATGGGGCGAAGCGAAGGTCCATCCAAGTCTCATTGAATCAATTTAAGAATAGTTAAATTTTATAAACTTCCACAAACCCCCCAAAAAAGCGACAGTTTGACCATTATTGCTAAACAGCAGCCACAACCTGAATTTTTGGTGCAGATTTCTATTTGAAAATTTCAGTTTTTTGCAAATAAAATAAATTAAATCTGCAATTTTTTCAGTATTAAAACCCATTTTTTTTTACATAAAAAAATCAAAAAAACTCTTTCCTACACAACCTATTTAAGCTGTCAAAGAACTTGTATGTTTTGCAATATTGAAATCGGCCAAAAATAAACAGATCCGTGGGCAAGATTTACGCGATTTTTTTTTTTTCCAGAAGAAAATTGTAAATACTTCACTGGTGAAGCGCCCTGTATATTTATACGGCCGCCAATCGATGCATGCAATATAGTACAATATAATAGGAATACACACACACATGTTGTATTGTTAATGTTTTACATGAGTAGTATAATATATTATTATAGAAATAATTTCAACGAAGATCCGGGCGATAGGGGCGGTCAGAGGGGAAGTCGTTGGTATATAGTGTACAAAATGAGAAACGGCCATTATCAAACGGCCAAACGATTGCCCCGCCGCCGTTTGTCGTTGTAATTAAAATCCACTGGAAATATTGTGCGATTTTGGCGGAAACACAGTGGCATAATAAAATATTATACATACACCACACACACAGACGATGGCGTTGGCTTTGTCGTCGGTCGCGCATATTTTCACGCCATTAAACATAGTGACAGTCCGACCCGAAGGTTCTCTCCATTTCGTTTGTCCGTGTGTGTGTATGCGCGTTTGTGCGTGGTTTACATACTTAGGGCCCCCAAAGCACGACAATTGCTATGTCGAAGTGCACTGAAGCGGGCGAGGGGCAGAGGGAGGAGAAGGTGGTCGACCGTCATCATTCTTCTTCAAGCGGTTTCCGCAGCCGCCATCGTCACACCGCCGCACTGTGCGAATGCACCCCTGTCGGTTTTTTTATCAGAAAACGTTTTTTTTATATATAATATGTATCCGTTATTACACACCCGTATACATTCGTATTCTATATAAAACGTACATATAATATACAGCCGGGTCCGTTATCTCTATTTTCATCTCTAATCTCTTAACTATAATCTTTTACCTCCCCCTCCTCGCCTCCAGCATCCAGCTGGACCGTCTCTTGACACTAATCGCTTACCTCTATTTTTGACATTTTCACTGTCTTTGCTCAGGCACATAACCGAAAAAAGTGTTACAAATAAAGCATTACGCTGTTATCTGATAAGAGATAAAAGATGGGATGGTGATGGGGATGTTAAATTTTTTATTCGGTACTTTAACAAGACATGAAAATGATCTTTTGTGGTTGCAGACTCGTCTTAAAAAATTATTTTATCTCTAATCTCTCATCACCCTCTCCTCGCCTCTAGCATCTAGCTGAACCATCTCAGCATCCAACTGGACCATCTTTCAAATTTAATCTCTTATCTCTAATCTCATACCTCATCTCAGTTCTATCTCAGTTTTTAAGTTTTTTTTAGTTCCAACTGGACCATCTCATTATCCATCTGGACCATCTCTTAATTAATCTTTTATCTCCCCTTCTCACCTCCAATAACATATCCATGTTAAAGTTAAACCCAATGAAATATTGAGTGGCTCACTGTATAAAAAATTACCCTGTATATACATTAGACCGAACCAAAGAAAAACCAATTTTTTTAGGTCCCGAAAAATCGTTAATTTTAGTGTTAAAGAAAGGAAATTTCAAAATTTGAACTTGATCGCATAATATTTAAAGGTGTCTCAAAGCTATTTTGTCTTATCCATTCGATTGACACGTATAAAGTTGATAATATCTTTTTTAATTGTTTACTCTTTTTAAGTTACAATATTCGAAGTGAGCTTGTTGAAAATATGTTGAAAGAAACTCCAGAAAAGTTAATAAAGAAAATGTTTTCGATTAACTACTTAAATGTTTATTTAAAAATTAAAAATCTGTTTTTTTTTTAAGTTAATAAACTAATAAGGAAGCAATTATTTTTTGTCCTATTTCTAACGAGCCTACTTCAAAAATATTATCGCTAAAAAGTAGAAAAAAATATATACATAGTTAAAAGAAAAAAAAGATATCATCTTCAAGCGTTTTAAGAGGACCATTTCTAAGGAGTAAAATATTGGCAATTTGTTGAAAAATCTTAAATTAGAGTTTGAACTATAATGTATACTTATTAATACAGTAACGAGGATACTTTGTTGAATGTTATTTTTTTTGTCAGACCATCACAGTCACGTCTATAGGATAAATTACAATTTTTTTCCCATCAAAACTGCTTTGCGCGGGACAAGTATGTGAGGCCAGTATTAAAAGTAAATTTATTAAATTTTCAAAATGTATAGAGAAGAAATTTATCCATGGGGTAACGTTTTAATTTTTTCGATATCTATACTTAATATTTTTTTATAAGCAAATTAAAAAAGGAAAAAATAATGAATATTTACGAATGAAGATATTTGATTGTGCTTAAGTTATCACAAAACTAAAAATGCTACCCCTTAGATAAAGTTCTTCTCTATCCATTGTAATAATTGTATACGGCTACTCTAAATACCACCCTCACATTCTTGTCCCCCGCAAAACCATTTTTCGTGGATAAATTACGGGTGGGTAGCGTCCTCTTAAGGAAACAGACAAACAGCTCTTAGTCACTTTTAAATGTATTGAAATTTTTACATTTTTTTCATTCAACCCAAAATTAACTGGTTAACAAATAAAACATTTGTTTTGAGTAGGTATGTATACATATGTATATAAAGTTCGCATTATGTGAGTGGACGACTTGGCAGTTTTGGCGCAGAATTTTCCAATTTCACAGCAGCTGAAATGAATTAAATTTAAGTCGCGTCGCCTTTGAATTATTTATATTTTGGTTCGGTTAAATTACAATCAGCAACCATAATCTATCTTCCCGAGACTTGATCGACACGAGTGAAGCCTTTGCTGGTATTATAATACTTTGAGCAACGCCGCTTAAACTTGCCACGTACTATGTTGCTGTGGCAACCTAAAATATGGTCATATATAAAACATCATGCTCTAAACATGGATCCTTTTGTCGAATTCCAATCTTAACATTCTCCTTATTTCTTTGAACTTTTTAAGCATTTGAACAGATTGTATTAAAAAACCTCCAATTTAAAATATGTCATTGGTAAACTTATAAAATTTAAATATAGTACCCTACTATATACATTAAGGTGGGTCCTATGGGTTTTTGCAAAAATAAGGTTGGTGCTAGGTAAACAAATAATCAATTTTTTCAAGATTTGTATTAGAATCCCTTTTTTCCATGTTTGAGAGCAAGAACTTTGCCTTAAGTTCGGCTATGATCCAAAATGGTTTTTCTAAATGTGTTTTCCACAACTATATTCTTGAAGTAAACCTTGCAGTGAAGTTAGATTTAGTCGAGATTAAATTAAGAACCGTAAACCTTTAGAGTGTTTGTTTCACTTATTTGAAAAGGGATATAACATAAAGTCAAAAATAAAGATCACCCTAACATATTAATAGTATATACATATATAATATTTATACATATAATATGTGTACACATATTATAGTTTCACATGAATTTTGTACTTTGTAGGCTACTTGATAGGCAAATATATAATCCTCAATGTACATTACAAACTATAAAATTCCCGGAATAGTCAATATACAAGCTATGTATATTGACAATCAATTAAAACAGAATCGTCGTCCTTTGGTCTAATGAGCAAACTAATTACTATAGTATAATGTTTCATCGATAGCTGATACTCTAGTAATCTTACATGTCAAGAAGTCTTTGCGGAATTCAATATGTATATTCCAATAGTTGTACCTTGCATATCCCCTTTAAACGTTTCACTATGCATTCCAATGATACAGTTAATATGGCGTCAAACTTGATTGTTTCATACTTGAACTCGGTTCTCCGAAGCCCGGTAAGCACAAAATGGCCCTAAAGGTTAGGAGCCAATAAAAGGAACGATTGAACGATTAAAAATCAAATTTTACTTTAAACAAATTCTATGATATTATCTAGAATATAATTTACAAAATGTTTTAAAAAAACACATATATAACAAAAATATTACATATTATAACATATGTGCTTCGTGACAGAGCATGGAAGTTTTTATTTGGATACTCACAATGTCCGATCCGTAAATAATTCACTTGGTTATCGTAGTGCTTTCCAGTATCACAATGTCTGCCTTTGTAGTATACATAGCTTTCAGCTTTGCTAGTTAATGTAGATAATGGCGAAGGAACTGCGTCAACACGAAGGCTCATTTTACTTGCACACATTATTACTAAAGTTGTAGAAAACTTTTCAACTACATATGTTTACTTTTATATAGAGCATCCGTGTTTAATAATATAATTAACATGTCCATGTTGTGCCAATTTAGTGTCGTGAACAACATGTACGTGCCTTATTATATTACTTGTACCGGCAACGTATGATGTATTGTATTAAATATATATATATCATACTGCCATAAATGAAAAATACATGATAGAAAATCTTTGAAAATCATTAATATCTGTATGATTATGGTTGAGCCTTTGGTTTATTTTTGAAAATATGTACTTTTACAATTAAACTGGATGACTTTTTTTTTCTTCCAGACCCAAGTATTACATAGAGGAAATCAAAACCGGCTACAAGACACGACTGTTGCTCACGGTACAGTTCTTAGACCGCAACGATCTAGGCACTTACAAGTGTTCGGCCACCAACTCCATGGGATTTGCAAACGGATCAATACGAGTATACGGTAAGTCGAAGACAAGACTTGTATCCCATCCCCCATTCTCGGTGTACTACTAGGCAATATCAATATATGGTAAACTATTGGACAGCGTATCAAAGCAGACCTACCAAGAATGTAGAAAATTACATATGTGGTTGTTCAATTTAAATTCAGTATATAGTTTTGCTTGCTTGAATTTAAGCTTACAAAAAACTATTTTTTTTTTATATTGCTGAAGCCTGGGGCAAAATAATATTTGTATTAGATGTGAAAACATGATATGTCTATGTACCTGAACGAGCTGCCAAAGTTACCGACGGGCGGTGGTAAACTTAATTTCTGGGCCAAAAGCTTACATGCACGTTTTCAATCGGACGAGGATAAGGATGGTAAAGCCGGCAAACTTTTGCTTCCCAACGGTTCTCGTTTATTTTTAAACAGATAAACTAAACCGTAATAGCAGTAACATAGAATTCCAAGTACTTATACCCTTTTGCAATTAACGTGAACTCGTTTGGGTCTTTGCTACCGCACCGCGTCGTCTAGAGTAAATTATTGATGTTTCGAAGAAACAAAATCTACGACGAAACGTTAAAACAACTTATAACTAACGGTAATATATAACTGTATGGCAGGTAAAACCTTACAAAACAGTAGTATCTCTTAAAGTACAATTTTAAAATAATGATGGTCACTGCAAGGCAATATTTGTAAGAAATCGTTCAACAATCAAGCCGATAATTTGGTCCATACTCCATACTTAATGATTTGATATTCGTGTCAAATTTTCTTAAAATATAGTGTAAAAACTTGGTATTAAAATTGTTTTCAATGCCTTTTTTTACAAACCCTTTGATTACCCTCTAACCTCTTAATTTAAAGCAGTCATTTTTTTTGTTTATAAATGTTCATACTATTTGCTTATTATAATTAAAATTTCATTCTGGAAACTATGTTATACGGATTTAAGAAAAATGTATTAAGCTGTTTTACGCTCAGTTAAAAATAGTAAGACACTGTTAATAATCCAACAAAGGATTGTAAAAATGTACATACATTTTACTTTTGAAATGTGTTGGTTATAAAAACGTAGTTAAATTAAAGATAGGCTCAAAGATGACCAAACAATTTCGGCTAAGACACTGAATAGACCTTACACTAAGTTTTGTCTCAAACCACACTAAAATATTGTAAACACAATCCAAGTTAATATAATATGTATCTATGCTGGTAATGCACATGCACATGCACATTGTGTTTAAAAGAGAAAAGGGTCAGCAATAAGACCTGTGAGAGGGAAAGAGAGGTGCACTGGAAATTAGTTCGATTCGAATGTCCTTACAAAACGAAAACTTCCAGTTAAAATTGTTTTTTTCCCTTTGCTATTTTTGTACAATGTCCACACGAAGAAAGACTCAACCGGTGTACTTTATATACGAGGATAAATGACGCGTGACCCGTGGCCGCCGTCGACACATGGCGTTATCACACACAGGTGCTGGTAATATCTATTCGGCAGAGCTTGCACCATTATCATAATGCCCTTGCACGCACACACCTTCTGGGCATGAGTAATTTCATAATAGTAAACCGACGCGACTGAGGGTGGAAAATTATTATAAATGTTTCACCATAGGTGTGCTATTATTATACAGAGTGATCCATCTAAACAACGCCTGTCTGTGATATGACAATGCTATCATCGACTAACCTAACATTTTAATGTGCATCATGTAAAAGTAAAGTAGCATTTTTACTTAATTTTTACGAAATTAGTGCACTCGTTTCCTGAGAAAATATGGATACACAAATTTATCAATACTTAGAACATTTTTACCCCCCATTCCCTTACACGTAAAAGAAGTATGGACTTGGTTTTTTCAAATAAGAACATATGTTTTTAATTCCATTAATATGTAAACAAAAAATTGTTTTAAAAAAATGTTATGGTTTGAATTTTGAATTTTTATCAATTTCTTCGTTTGCTATGCCATTGTAAGGATTTGAATTTAAGATCAATATTGATTAGATTTTTACAACATTTGAACATCAGTGTCTATCATTATCTCAAAACATTTTATTGTGCCAACATGATTTGCAAAGTCATAGCAAACGAACAAATTAATGAGAACAAAAAATTCAAACGCTAAAATTTTTTTAAATTGTTTATGCTAATTTAATAGAATTAAAAAAATATGTTCCAATTTTAAAAAAAATAGATCCATACTTGTTTTACATATAAGATATGAAGCGTATTGAAAGTTATAGTAACATATGTACCTAGGAAAAAATGATGTCTAAAATATTCAAATTTTCCCTGAGAAAACGAGTGTCTTACATCAGATGGATCACATTGTAATTAGCGAATAATGCTATCCTAAATCTTAAACGTTACACACATTTTCATTCGAGGCACGTTGGCTTAAGTACAATCATTGAGTTAATATTGTATATAATATATTATACTCTATGATATAATTAAACGAAAGTACGGCGGTCAATGAGCGACGCCAGCGTCTGGAAATCAATGGACACCGTTGCAACAGTCCTAGACTTTTTATATAAAGCTTATCAGATTCACCTGGAATTAAATCTGATAAGCAATAAATAAAAACTATCGTGAAATAGCTAACGTGTGTTGCTGTATTAGATTGTTACTGTGTAAAAAAAAGGAAATTACTTTAATTAATTGCCAAATTCTTAAACATACCGACCTTCCTTTGAAAGAAAACATACGAATTTATTTAGATCACAAATTTGAAGTAATTTGGTGTATCAAGAACCATTTTCTTTATTACTCGGCTCGGTCTCTTTCGGGTATATATTATTATGTAAGCAAAACTTAAATTCCCGGTGATTTATGTTTTGGAAAACTTCTATGAATTCTCATTGGTAACCACATAAGACGTTTTTCGGTATGATGTTTATAATAATATATAAATATACGTTTTTCTGTAACTAAAACCGTAGTAGATAAATAATCTTTCTACACCAACGCCTTCACTCAATCGACGCACTGACGTGATAGCATTTTAATTAATTTTTTTCTGTCATTTCAGAGAAAAAAAGTTGTATTTTATTTATGATGATGAGAGTTTCAAATCCAAGTCATTTTACCATACTCGTAGTTGTATACTAAATAAAAAATGGCCGAACATTTATGACGTGATTTATTCTTATTACTTGATGCACTTAATTTAGACTTTATCCAGTTTTACGACTACTTGCGGATAAAAATTGTAAAATAAATATTTGTTTTCTGGGGAAATTTGAATCACTATTCCCTTTTCTTGGTTAAATAATATACCATTCAGCTGTTCTTATCGGGCGTTGTTTTTTAAGTAAACAATTCAAGAGTTATACTTAAACTAACTTCATAAAATAAACACTATAAGCCTGCTTACTGATTACATAATGACTCGTTGTACATTTCATTTCTTACTATATTTTATTGAAAACATGTGAAATCAATAACCGAGAATACCTGTAAAAAGGAACTTTGTGACGGTGACAAAATACCTGTGTAATAATTTCCCAAAATAATTTCCAGTTTGTAATCTCAATCTTAGGTTCTTGGAATACAATAATTATTTAAAATACATCAAAAATAATATTCGAGCAAAAGTATTTTTTATTTGTTAGATTGCGTATTCATATTTTCAAAGTAACTTATTTACACAAAATATATAGATACCCTGTGTTGTTTGTTTGATATTAAATTTTATTATTTATTAAGTATAAGAACATGTACGGTCTCCAATGTTTACACAAAAGTTCTATTTAGAAAACGTACAACTTGAACAATAATGCAAATTATATTATTACATTTAACTATTGCATGAGATTCGAAATGAACATACTAGTAATTTAACTTGCATTCTGAATACATGTAGAATATAAGTTAATATAATAAAACTACACACTTGTAAATCCGTTTATTAAAATTAAAGTATAATATGCAAGTAATACCTTGATTGAGCTGATTTCTGACTCTTTTGATCTGGACTTTTTTTAGTCGTTATTTATGTATGTTAGGGGTGAATTTATCGATTTCCCAATTGTATGTCTGATTCCAATTGGCTACTGAGATGCATGTACAAATAAAATACAAATATTTAAATCAATTGAGAATTAGCTACTATAATAGGAGTCTTATTAACTATGTGTGCTATAAAATGTATATTTATCATTTTATATCCCTTTCACACCTGTTCGCAATCCCATTTCCATCCCACCAACCATTAAGCCTTCTTGTCCTTTCTCGAGGAATTATCTGCATTATCTTCGGTATGGACAATTTGGTAAGCAATTATATTTAGTTAAAATAGGTGTAAGACTTTAAACCCCCATTTCATACCCTAAGGGGTTGATTTTGGAAAATCGTTTCTTAGCGAATGTCTACGCAGCCACTAAAGAGTCTGCCGACTAAATCTCAAGTTTTGGGCCTTATTAGATTTCGGGATAAGACATTCGCTTATATGTATGCATAGGTTATTTGGCAATTAACTATGCATTTATGAATTTATTATATTTTAGTGGTTGTAAATGGTACCATAAACCAAATAAACTTTTTACATTCATCTTCATAACATTCATATTCTCACTGCCTCTGCCTCTTCTCATAACATGCCCAAACATCTCAACCTATTCTCTCTCATCTTCTCATCTTCTATAGTCACTCCACTCATCCATCTTAGTATTCTCAGCTCTGCCACACTCGTTCTCTGTTCAATTTTCTTGTCTACTGCCCAACATTTCGACCCATATAACACTGTTAGCATCCTCCTGTCACATAAAACACCTGACGCTCCTCTCCAGTTTATCCATCCACAATATTGAAATAATATGGATATTTTGAGCTATATCAAGCTCACGGTGACCTTATTTAATGTAATATAACATTGAAATTATTGCATTTAATTCAAATCAAACGTTTTGTGTGGTAAATAATGATTGTACAAAACAAAGTTGTCATAATATAGGGTACAACAAAAATATTTGGTCGATATACTTTGTTAAATACCTTATGCCGAATCAACGGTTTAAATACAATATACAGACACCGTTCTTTGTGAACACAGTTTATTTAAAGTCTGAAATAAAATTGGCATTCATTCGCCACTCCATGCATGGTGGATTCGCCCAGCTTAAACAAAGGCGTCTTGAATAGTTCGACAATGGACAGCAATGGGAAGAGGGAGAGGAACTTTGATTAAAACAGTCACGTATACCGAGAGAGTAATATAAAAGAATCGAACTTTCCGCCTTGTTCTCTTCTCTTTAATTAAACATTTCATTTATTTTACTTTAACCCATTCTCGAGTCCCCTATAGTAGCCGCATAGCTAATGAAATGAATTTCTGCTAAATTACAGGTACGGTTTTTTTTGTATTTTCTTTAATTGTGCTCGTTGAGTTACAGAAATAATATTACCGACGATTCCGCCGACTACGACCACCACGTCTACTACCACCACTGCTGCTACCACTACCACGGTCACTACCACTACAACTACGGCTACCACAAGCACCATGAACGCCCAGAGTACAACGGGTGAGTCAAATTGGGTTTCTTTGAAATTAACAGGGTATGATTTATTTGATTGCATACGTCGATTATGGATGTTCTGTTATGATTGGTCGTGTTAAGTTATCACAGTGATAAGAGACATCTGACAACAGCTCCTGATAATAGTGATAAGGAGCAGCTAATAATGGCTACTGATAATATTATGCAGTCGATAAGAGATCAGCCGGGTTTAGGTTAAATTTGGATTAAACGGTTAAGGTTAGGTTAGGAGATGACTATTGAATAGATCAGGGAGGGAAAGAAAGGGATGAGAGGGGGAAGACATACCCATGATTCTATGTTTTTCTGTGTATTGGAGAAATTAATATGTTTATTAAGGTGAATATAAATAACATTTGTATATAAATGTACCTCAATAAAAATCTAAACGGGATAAAAATGAATCACTAAAAATGATGTATAATAACAATTTAACGGTTCACAATTTTCAATAATAATGTATTAGACGTAGCAATGCTATTAAAATCATGTAAAAAAGCTTTTGTATTGTAATTTTAGCAATATTTTAAAAATATCAGCACTATAAACTATGTTTGATATGCATTTTCGAATTTATCATAAAAATTATGATAATTATTACTATAATTAAAAAAATTATCCTTTTTTTTTGTATTGGAACCTCAGTCAGAGTAAAATGATATTACAATAATATTCGAAAAGAATTTTTTTTTATGAAAAATCCCGTTATATTATTTAATTAATTTTACATTATTGCTCTTATTTTTTAATTGTTAATTTGTATGTTCATTGGGCTTTTATGTATATTTAATAAACAGTTTATTGTAAACAAAAAAGGGTTTTGCGCACCAAACCATTACTTTATCTTATTGTGATTTCTTATTTTAATTATTACAATATTTTAAATGAATCATTTTTTTTATCTTTATATAGTGAAGCCGCTTTTGACAAAATGGAAGAAATATAAAGATGCAGAAGGTAATGGCAAACAACATTTTTTTTTACTTACAAAATATTTGTGAATGGATTTCAGCTTAATGAAATATATTAAAATTATATCAAATAAAAAATTGACACCCTCGAGATCCATTATTTCCATTTGTTTTGTATAATTCAATTGCTGACTGCTTCAAATTTTATTAAAATTTCCAGCGTTCAAGTTAAATGTAATATAAAATAATATTATAGTTATTTGGATTTTAAAGATGATTTTTTGTCTTATCAAAGCGATATTGCCCGGATTGCATTACTGTTGTAAATTAATTCTTTGGCAAACCATTAAGTTTTAATTATTAGATTAAATACTTGTGTTGGCCAAATCGTTATTTTTTTTTTAAACTTTAATACTCTAATGACTTCGAGTAATCTCAAATATTAAATATATTGCACCAAGAAGTTGTATTAAAAAAACGTAGGCTAATAACTTTTTGAACTTCATATCAAGCTTTTAAAATATTATTTGAACATTACAAATTAAATTAAGAAGTTTGTTCAAAAATATATTGAGTACTTCAATGGAAACTTTAACCGTTTGTATGCGATATAGATGTGTATTGCACACATTTCACAGAGAATACAACTTTTTGAATAAATTCTAATTATTTTTTCCATTTCACAGAACTGCAAGTCCATTATGAAATTATATTGTTACCGACTATTGTGATACATCTGTTGATAGATTTTTGTTATAATCCCTCAATGCTACAATGAGATTCATAATACATTTTCTTACAATAATGAGATTTTTACACAAAGCGCATCTTATTAACATATTCTATTATAAAGTTCATAAATATTTTGAAATTATTCATCTCACACTAATTCAATACCGTTTTAAGGAACTAACATAATGTTTTTGGAAACCACCTTTGGTATGTTTACAATACCAACTTTATCTCTGACATAATAAAGCTATATAATAATTCGGTGACTAAATAATTAATACTTGTTATTAAAATGGTCTTTAGTGTATCATACAATTTATTGAAGTTTTAGATTTGAGTAAAGCATTGTATTATTATTACAGAACCATTTCAGAGCTGATACTCTTTTAGAGCGTTCAAATAACAAATTGTTATAGTTTTTTCTTTATTTTTTAGAAACTATTAGACTAACTGCAACACAATGTTTTAAACTTACTTTGGCAAAAACTAAAAGTATATAAAAGTCGGCTGGTTTTCATAGAATTCTCGAACCGTATAATATGGGAAAACCCGTTCTAAAAAAAATAGGTACCAACCTAAATAACGGTCATTGGCTATTATTACCCTTTCCGGCAATAAAAAAAAAGGGCGTTTTAATTTGAATAGCACACTTTCGGTGTAACGACGTTTTTTGTACGGAAAAACTCTTTCTATATAACAACATTATCGTTAATGTATACCTAATAATTATTGTTATTATCATAGTATTTACTGTTATTGTACCTATATAAGGAAATCGGATTCCTACGCATAATATATAGTACAGGGAAATTAAATTAAATCGCCGGAGTTGTTCCTGCTATTTTTTTCCCATTTTAAATGTGCTACCGGCATACAATATTATTACAATAGTGCACGTACCTAGTGTGACATACCGGAATGGCAACTGTAATGTGTAAAATAACACTGCGATGGAATTTTCATTAACTCCCACGACCCAATTTGTTGCCATATGATATTTTTTTTGTATAGATATAGATACACCTTAAGGGATGCGGTGGTTCGAGTTGAATGGGAAACGTTTATGCAAAAAAAAAAAACCCAATAAAAAAGCGCGGACCGGATGAAAGGGTGAACGCGAGGCGATAAAAAAAAAGATCAAAACCGGATTTGTCGATCGTTTTCGGTGTTCGACACTTATTTCGAACACCTCTTTTGTTTTTTTTTAAGAATATATTCTTACCGGTAGCGTCGTAAAGGCACGCGACTGTTAAGCGGAAATGGCTTTTTTGTCAAACTCCAACCGTTTTCTGTTTTTACATCGTCCCTGCATAAAGTTTTTACCTTGTTTTTTAGACGTTAATTTTATTTAAAGCCGTCCGCTAGATAAAACTCCACAACACCTAAATACATAATATATTAGAAAGATAATATGCAAAACGCTGCACTACTAACCGGATGGCTTCAAAGGTAATTTTAAACCTTTTCCGTGTCGTATGCGTTCACACAAAACACAATATTCTGTTCGACCATAATTACAAAGCCCTCGATCAAATTTACTCTTTTCCAAATTAATTATAGAGGTTTCTAATTATTAGAAATACAATTTACAGTACCTTTATTTTTATTTTTTTTTTGAAACAGAATATACAGAAGGGTGAAATAATAACTGTTATCTCTAAAAGCACAGAACAAACAAAAGAGAAACTAGATAATTTCTACTGTTGCCATTCGACAAACGTGGACAATGGCGACGAAATTGTTATAGGACATTCAATAAATCAACAGTGTAGACATGGATCACATAAAATTAAAAAAAAAACCAAATATCTGCGTTCTAGCATCACTGTCTATTCTCGATACGTCTGATGGTTTTTTGATAAACTCTAAGATTCCCTTCTGTTTATTCTGTATAATAGCACATATATAAATATATATATATATATATATATATATATATATTGTATATATACAATATATACATATAAATATATAAATATATATATATATTGTATTTATAATAAACTAGATTGCTAACTAGTGATAAGAATTGATGTCGACGTCGGCCATTTTTGTGGGATTTATGTGTGTATAAAATAATACATATATATATATATATATATCTGTGATTCTGTGTTATCAACTTATCTTGTAATTGTTATAAACATGTGATAAGGTTATCACTCCCACAAAGATGGCAGAAAATGGTAACTTCGATTGTCTCTATTGGCGGAATGTACACTTTTTGTTTGTTCTATGATTATTATAGTTTCAATTAACATGCAATAATAATAGGGCATGTGTGTTGTATAATATATTATTATTTTTGTGCGTGCATGTCGACAGGTGAAGGCAAGACGATAGACAAGACTCGAAGACGGATGAACGACATCGAGATGGAGACCAAGAGCAGTAGTCACCGGGCCAGCACTTCCGGGTCAACTAGAGTGCAAAGTTGGTCGTTTGGTCAAACACTGACAATAATATCCGGGTTTGCATTGCTGGTGATCGCCAGGGGATCAGTTGAATATCTGGCAATAAAAAAAAAAACATAACTTAATAAAACCTAACTAGTAGTAATAATACGTAAATCTTTATAATTAAGTATGTTTGTATAATGTATACATATAAAATGTAATTTTTATGTACATACTTTTAATTGTCAACTCAGTGTTTTATTTCTAGACGTGGGAGGAAAGTTGGGGGTGGGCTTGGAATACTAAAAAATCTTAAAACTTAAAATTAGTGCTTTTAAAAATACCTGCGTTCATTTGTAAGTGGGAGATTTGTTGAAATCAAAATTAACGTATCGCTAGTTTTAAGTTTTAAGGTTTTTTTTAAGATTTTTAGAATCTCAAGCCCCCCCCCCTCAAATCTCCGCCCACGGTTGTAGGGTGTTTTGTTAAAAAAAAATTGTTTAAAAAAACTAGAAAGTATTGTTTGACGGATGTTCAATCATATCACAGTGTTGTTATTTTACCGTTCACGAGAATAACACATTTTGTATTAAAGTTAATGTTTTTTTTTATTGCTCGCTAATCATAGCAAGCACAGTACTTAACGTCTAGACAAAAAAAATCGTTGGCAATAAAACAAAATTGGCGTTTCATTCAAAATGGTTATATTATATTTTATTGTACGTTTATGTCAGGCAAAAGCATTTGGTTGGTTATTTTTTTTTCTTTTCTATAAATTGTTTTAACGGTATTGTAATTCAAGTTAAGATTGTTTTCAATATCGGCCAATTTCCACGTTTAACCAACAACCCTGTCATAGTGTCTCTAAAAAAAATTATGCTACTCAATTTTCTTGAATTTTACAACGTTATTTTGAACAATAATTGTTTTCTAACAAAAAAAAAAAAAAAATGTTGCTCAAAGATAAAACTGAAAACACATTTTTTTTGTAATAAACTACAATTTATTGTGTTTTTTTTTTAAACTTATAAGTTATTTATTAACGAAAACAGCTATAATAATATACTAAGTTATATCACTAATAAAGTTTTTGATTTGTGATATTTTTAAGATCAAACTTATTAATTTTAAGATTTTGTATACCATTGATTATAAAAACAATGTTTGTACATAAACTCTTATTTCTCCTATAGCGTTACCTTCTCTAGTCAATGAGTGTGTTGGCTTTTATTATTATTGTTATTAAAGTCGGTCATTTAAATTATTATAGTTTTGTATAATCATGTATTTATAATCAAAACAATATAATTTGTAACATGTGTAAATATCAAGTATAATATAATATTATGGTATGTAATTTTTATTAACATTATCATTTTTAACATGTTATTACATATTTTACCATATCAATTATAAATGTTGTTATCGATAATTATTATTATTATTATTATACCTACTTACCGTGAAACAGTCGTTTTATTTATAAAATATGTTATTTTTATCGTCACAAATAAACGGTCACGAAAAACTGTTTATTGGAAAAATTTTAATAAGTAAAACTCTTTATTTTTTTTTTACCAGTACATTATTTACTATAGTAAAAATCATGGTAATGGTTATATACTGTGGTAGTTACCACAGTACCTATATAAAGTAAAATATATTATGTTATACTGAAATTATTATTGAAAATCAAATTAGATAGTCGCCCAGCAAGCAATTTTTTACACAATACCATTTTATAGATTAATAAAAATTATCAACAACATCTTAATTGATACTCTTGGTGTACCAGACCAGACCTGGGCAAGTTCTCAATGGATAACGCTTATCTAACATGCCAGCACGATTATTGATCATTGTGTTACTCTACTGACAGTAAGTGAATTTCATAAAACAATTTTCAGCAGCTTACGAAAAAAATGTGTATTATATAAATATGATTAAATTTGTCGGTGCAAAAGAAGTTTTTTAAATCACACAATACACATGCACTCGTGCAGTTAAAAAAAATTACATTTCACATTTTAATAATAATAAAAAAAAATTGTGTAAAAATAACCGAGTTATTGATTTTTTTTTATGTAACATCACGTTTCACTATGTTATTTGACGTGTTGATGCAAATATCCAATCATATCGTATTGTAATACTAAGAAAAAAACCACAAGGGAATAGTATTTATATATATATATATATGTATTATATAATAATGCAGAAATGTCGTTCTCCTTCTAGTCTAGTGACAAGAACAAAATATTATAGACATGCGTTGTAGTTTTTTTTTACTATCACTTGGCCACGGTTCAACCAGTATTATAATACATAGAACTAATAGTTCCTTTAAAAGTTACATTTAATTTATTTTTAAAAAAATAACTAATCAAGAACCCGGTTTTAAAATGAAACTGATAGGTCAAAACTTTTGACTCAAAAGCTGGTATGACCAATATAGTTATAATATAATAATAAACTAAATTGCTAACTATTGATAAGAATAGAAGTCGACGTCCGCCTTTTTTGTGGGATTTATGTGTGTTTAATATACATATATATATATATGTCTATCTGTGATTCTTAGTTATCTACTTAACTTATAACTGTAAATTTTCATCACTATTTATTTGTTATCGCTTGTTATCTATTGTTGTCAATAGAGATAATTGAAGTTACCATTTTCCGCCATCTTTGTGGCAATTAGAACCTTATCACATGTTGATAACTGTTATCAATGTTTATAACAATAATTAAGTTGATAGCACCGAATCTAAGATATGTTAATATTATTTTAATTTTTATACATACATAAGCCCCACAAAAATAGCCCATGTCGACTCCAATTCTTATCAATAGTTAGTAATCTAGTTTATAGATAGATTATATCTATGGTATGAGGTGAGTAGGACAGATAACAGCAAAAAAAGACAAAACTTTTACAACTTTTAGACTAGAGAGCTCACATACGGACAGACACGTCTTTTTATTCCCATTTCGAGATTGAAAAAACAAATTTCCTCTGCGAACCGTAGCTTGCTCTTAAAGGAAGCAATATAAATAAGTATATATATGTACACCGAGAAATAACAGAAAACATTTCCGCACCGGAAACATCATACACGTTTCGAGAACTATAGAAAGTCTTGTGTTTTTGTTGTACATAAAAAAAAAATTGGTTGAAAACAAAGGAAATCGTTATCCGATTACGGTAAACGCGCAGAAGTTTTTCGCATAACGATCATCGACATAAACTTACCAGAGTGTCGGTGGAAAACAATAAATAAACTTGACCGGGCTTAAGAGTGATTTTTAGGATACCCAAAGACAATGGTCTTATACTTATGACGGAAACCTGGTCACGTAGAGGGATGCGACCTATCCAGAAGACATGACACAATCTCTGATCGATTCGACCGCAGGCCAGCAGTGTCACATCCGTTAATGCCGGTTCACTTATCCCGAATAATGGACAACGTCAACAGATACCCTGGTAAATAATTCTATAGCCTCTGTCACCGACAAAACAGCTATATAATATATTATTATAACCATTCATAACCGACCGTAAGTCCGTATTGAGTTAAACAATTTCACGGCAGCGGCTGCAAATCAAAATCTTATATTCCACCACAGTTCACAGATTCCAGGCGCTATATATAGAATACAAATCATTAAGATAAAAAAAAAACAGAAATTTCAAGTACAGGAGAATATCAAAAATCAATATTACTTTACTTTACCTCCAGCTAACATAACCTAACCGATATGTTCGACTCGACAGAGACCACACTGTGTTCATTCCATATTGATATACTGTTAGCTTCTGAGCGACGGCCGAGAGGGTATTGGTTTTATTATTTGATGTCAATATATATTATTTTTGATTTTGCAAAAAAAAAGCCAACCTAGGCCCTTGGTTTGGTAAGTGTCTCAATTGTTAAAACAAATGTTTTATTACACTTCCATTGAATAGACTTTTCTGTGATGTTTTACATTATACATTAGAAACCATTGAAGTATTGAAATTTACATTCACACATTATTCGAATAATATTACACTCAGTGTGTTATTCTGTATACTTATAGTGGCATTTTGGTAAGATGTTTTTACATTAAGAATACATACACGGTGGTGCTATCTGCTGGACAATTGTTAAGTATTCATGCATTGCAAGAAATGGTTAACGGATAGCAGTAGGCTGTCAAATTCCAGTAAATAAACTGTGTTTGCTTACACGAAATTTTCAACAAAAACCAATTTGGCTGCAACGTGAAAGACATTATTTCAAGGGTTAATAAAATTGTACCACTTTTAGCCTTAAGTGCTGTATGGGTTCAATTTTTTATTTATAGACTTGCAACGTAAAGAAATCGGTTAGGTTAAACTTCTCGGTTAGAACTTCTTCTTGAAAACTAGACATAAGTTCTATTGGATGAATTTGTAATTACTTTGGTTTGGTGGCACTGGACCAACTGCAACAAACATTTTAAATATCAAATAGTTAATGAGTTAATGGAAACCAAGTTATTTTACTGCACCCCAAACAGCCACTCTAAAACTGAGATTATTTTGACCAATTCATAAGTGCAAAATATTGTATTAACATACAATTATTCTCATAACAACATTTCAATGAATGTTTTGAATATATTTCAAACAATGCTTAAATAAACGCAAATTGTCAAAAGAAGTGAAAACAATAAGTAACTTGAAACCAAAATCGTACTTTATTAGACAAAACATTAAAAAAGTTTACCTACATATAAGTTTGAGGCTTTTAGAAAGTCTACTAGCACACAATCAGGGGATTTGCCGTGGATTGAACATGTATGCCTTTCTCAAGTACTCAGAGACGTTAAAACGGTTAGAACGTTTTGATTTTTTCACCTGTGTACATTTCTTGTCGTTATGCAATTCCAGCCCACATTACCATATTCAAATTTAACTACCACCCCGATGGTCTCTCTCTCTCTCTCTCTCTCTTCAGAGTTGAATAATTATTTACCGTTCATCTCGTCGTCCAGTAAGGCTAAACAAATTAACAGTAATTGCTTTCTTTAACTACATTGCCTAGTGATATCACATAGCTTATTGCTCCTCTGTCATCCGCACCGTATCCATTAAATCCTCTGTAAGACGTCTCGCCATTAAAACAAATCTAACGCATGCCAGAGCATTATAATATAGGCTCGTTTACAAAATGGTAATTTAAACGTTTCCCGGTGTAGTATAAATTATGAGAGAGGGCTGTTGGTAGAGTTTTTATAGTGTAAAATAATACATATTACTATAACATTAAGTGTCCACATTGGAAATTATGTTTTTAACTAAAATACCTGTCAGCCAAGGTTAGGTCAGGTCGCCAATCAAGTATTTATTTCTTGGGTTGAGCATTGACTATTACAGAATTGGGCATACATTTTAAGAAAGACTTAATATTCATGTTACTGAACCAACGATAACTTTTTTAACACTATCCAGATTTCTATATATTGTACACACATCAGAAATATTTTGGGTGCTTAGTGAAAAGTTTGAGCTTTACAGATCCATTGAACCTTCTGAATACTTGAGACTTAAACTAAGATGGACCCATTGGTCGTGTGCCGCATCTATTTAGATCTAAACACCGAGCTATCTATAAAAAAATAAGATTAATATTTAATCATAAGGTAAGGAATTAAAGTTAGGCTTATGCATATTATTGTACTCATTTGTAAACGATTTACACAATTTGCATGTTAGTCTTAATGTAAAATATTTTTCCACAAAATAATTAAAAATCAGACGTTACATTTATAAGCTTTATTTATAAGAACATTGTTGCAACATTTATAAGAATAATGTTGCATGAAACAAAGTGGTTTTGCAGCATTGCTTAAATTGACCTATGTACTATTTTTAATATCTGTTACAATATAGTGTTAAGAAAAAATATATA